GCACAGAAGTAAAACTCAACTAAAAACCAAGTGACAGTGTTGTGCTGTTGTAGAAAAGTGTTATTTTGAGAACTGAGAGTTATTAAGACAAGTCAGTCTCTTGAGAGGAAGCAGGCAGCATGTCAATGTCATTTTTTTTCTAGACCAATTATGAGTGTGTTTTTGTGACATCCAAAACCATGAGTGGAATGTTTAATATAGCAGGAGATGAAACAGTAATACCCACAAGGTATAATCACACATCAGAGTAGAATGTGAAACAGCTAATATCCAAATATTAAAAGCAAAGCTGTAAATATTTTTCAGCATATTGGATCTTCTGGATACATAATTCTTTAGTGTTCCATAGTAATATTTTGGTGTGATGAACAAAAAGCAGTTTAATGTAAGAGGTTGCTGCTGCTAAAGTAGAGAGGAGATGTACAGCTGCACACATTTGTTCATGTTAGGATCCCACTGAAATGATGACTCCAAATGGATGAGCTGTTGACATATTAAACTCTAAAACAACTAGCTAACCCAGGGGTGGACAAACTTTTTGACTCACGGGCCACAATGGGTTCTAAAATTTGACAGAGGGGCCGGGCCAGGAGCAGAGAGATGGAGTGTTTGTGTGAACTAATATGACATATAAAAGCCATTACATAAAAGGATTTGGGCTTTAACAGGTAGCAAAGCATGAATATGCAAGGCTTATTGTACAAATTATTCTCCAAATGCAGCTTTTTCATAACACAGTAGAGAAATAAACCTTCAGTTTCAGTGGGAACAGTGTTGTTGGTCTCCCTTTTTAGCCAGTGCATCAAAGTCTGGAGTTAGTTTTGTTGTGGCTATTCTCAGGATAGATCTGATAGGTGGTCAGTTAACATGGATCTGTGACTGGCTTTGTTGATGTTCAGCATCATGAACGTCTGCATAAAAGTCACTCAGTTTAAGAGAGTTGAACTTCTCCTTTAAAACAGAGTCAGACTGAAGATCGATTAGTTCCATTTGCAGCTCCTGTGGTGCTGTTTCAGGGTCTTGTGACAGGGGACAAGACACCAGCTGAAGGGACTTGTCAATTTTTTAAAAATCAGAGAACCGATGGCAGAAATCTCTGTGCAGGTCGTCCAGTGATTTGCTGTATTTCTTCACGTTTCGGGTGGCCTCTTTCTGCATGGCTAGTGTGGGAAAATGGGAGAAAGATTTGTTTGAAATTTGTCTGGAGAACAAAGTCAGCTTGGATTTGAAGGCTCTCACATTTGTGTACATGTCGTGCACAAACTGATCTTTCCCCTGTAGCTTCACGTTCAGCTCAGTCATATGTGAAAAAATGTCCACAGCAAACGCAAAGTCACAAAGGCAGTTCTTGTCGCTCAGCTCAGGAAATTTGTCGGATTTCCCCATCTACTCTAAAGTCTGCATCGGGTTTCCTCCAGGAATGTAATAAACTGACGGTGCTGAAGTCCCCTTGCTTGTTTAAAGTTAACAAGTCTTATGACTGGATTCACGACGTGATTAAGCTGCTATACAGGCTTACACAGAGATCCTGGTCAGGGTCTTCCTCTTTCACTTTATCCTGGATTCTTTTCAGCAGCCCAACGTTTTTTCCAGTTAAATTTGGCGATCCATCTGTGGTGACATTGGCAAGTTTACTCCAAGGTAGCTTCATTCTCTCTATGACATCAGAAACCCGGTCATATAAGTCCTCTCCTTGCGTATTTCCTTTCAGGGACTCCATGGCCAAAAACTCCTCCATTATCTCAAAACTGTCGTTAATCCCTCGAATAAAAATTACAGTAGGAGCTGAGCAGTGTCTTTTATGTCGTTAATTTCATCCAGTGCTAGTGAATAAAACTTAAAGGACTTCGCCTTTTTGTTTAACTCGCTGGCTATATGGTATCTTCTAAAGGACTCCACCTTTTTGTTTAACTCGCTGGCTATACGGTATCTTCATCAATCAGTTCCACATGGCGAGTCACTGTCCTGCGTGATAAACTGATTTTTTCAAACTTGCCTTTGCTCTCCGGACACGAGACCTGCTGTCTCTACCATGCATTCTTTCAAAAACTGGCCTTCGGAGAAAGGCTTGCTAGCCTTTGCTAATTTGAATACCAGCATAAAAAGTGCCTTGGCACTTGACTCTTGAATCACAGTTTGTCAATGAAGTCTGTAAATTAGCCATCAACCTTTGAGCAGTAGCTGTTGTCCACTCCTTATTAAACACTCGGCACTCACTGCCCAGTTTTCTTTTCTTTGGTCTGCTCATTTTTACAGAAGGGGTCAAAGGGCAAAGTGAAGTAGAGAGGTCAATGTGTCTAAAGTGCATATACTGAGGAAACTCGGGAATTACAGGGAAAAGGCAAAACGAATGAGGTTTAATGATAACATAACTTAATAATATAATTTGGACAAGTTCAGCGGGCCGGATTAAAAGGCCTAACGGGTCATAGTTTGCCCATGCCTGAGCTAACCCATTTGTCTTGCTTCCTGACATGCCCCAAAATTAGGCTGGTGACTGATGTTACCACAATCTAAACAGCAGTTTTTGATGGTTACAGTTTATAATGGAAATGTTTTTGCAGTGTCAGACTTTTAACCCCTGGTTTATAATAACTAAATAACCACACTCATTTACTTTAAATATCTACAGCAGGTTTATTGTCTGACCACAAAGGAGCAGCGTATTGTGGTTGCTTAGTAACACCAGCACAAAAAGCAACAGGTAGAGGCCAAATGTGAATGAAGCAGAAGGTTTGGCGTCAGTGTTCGCAGCAGCACAAAAGCTGCATGTTAATAATCAGACTCTAATTATCCAGTCTCTTTAAATGTTAATAGATTCTGCTGTTGTTTCTCAGTTATGTCTCTGCTTCCATAATGCCTCATTCTTACTTTACAGGATATGTGAGGGGGTTAAATTCAGTGACACTTGGGAATGTTGATTGAATTCCACAGAATTAATGGCCCCTCATTTGCTCACTCATGGGCAGCATCACAGTGAGCATGTGACCAGGCCAGACTGCCACAGGCACTTGTTTTCATGCTCCCTCATGTCCTGTGACTGCGGCCGCGCCGGTGGTGGCGGCGCTAGCTTCTCTCCAGCTAAAGTAGAGTCATAATTTTGCGTGAGGTGTGAGGAGATGTGGTGTTATAGTGATAATAGAGGCAGAGCTACGAGGGCGTCATGGGTACAGAGGGAGAATTGTCAGTGAGTCTGGCTTACAAGCGGACAAAAACAGATATGATCAGCAGATTATGTCAAAAGCCAGTCTAGTTATCCAGATTAGTCATTTAATAATTATGTGTTAATCCCCAATACGTTATACTGGATGTCTTTTCCACTGCATAAACACGTCATATACCCCATTAGCTCTAATGCTGACAAGCTTTTAATAGCATCTTTGCTCAGGCTGGTATTACTGAAAGGCTGATGATTTCAATCAGCGCAATGGAGAGACATCATTTCCTGAACATTTGTTTCACCGGGTTCATTTGGATTATTCTTCTTTCAAAAGGGGGGAAACTGTTGTAGTAAAAATTGGTGTTGGAATGATGCAGGATTTCTCGATGAATCCTTTCTGCGAGTGAATGAGCTTCTTTTCACTTCTATTCTTCAGAAAGGAAGAACAGATGAATGGTTTAACTGAAACGGAGCTTGTGAACGAAAACAATGGATCATCTTACTGGTTCATTAGATGCTCAATTGGCCCCTTTACACAGGAAAACTGGAAGCACTCTTTGCATTCCTTGTTGATTCCTGCTCATACAGTGTGTCCTCAGAGGTTCACGAGCAGGTCAGTTTGCAGAGCATTACCTTGGTGGTTCAGTAACCGCAAGGCTGTGCAACTATAGCAGGTTAAGTGCGACAGTCTTTACTCAATTTCTGTGCCTTATCTGTTGCTTGTCTTTATAAGTTCCTTAGCATGTTTATGGGATCTGTAGGTTCAGAGTCAGACATGTGTCTCCCTGGAGTGAGTGTTTGCAATAAGATTTATTTAAATGTCAGATCCAGTTTGTGTTCACATTGTCCTTCTATAAACAAAGCAAGAGCTCTAAGCATGAAGGTATACAACTCACTGATTTGGAGATTTTTGATGTCTGTCATCTTGCATCATCAGCGCTACATGATTCCCAGTGGGGAAATGAAAATGTGATGACTGACAGCTGGTCATGCTGCACTGTAATGCTTCTTATGTATAAAATTATGTTCTCTGCAGTCAAAGATTGCTGATTATAACCATTAGTAGTAGTATTAAACAGCCAGTGCATTGCACATTATGAACAATGAATAGCAACAGGTAGAGACAGGACAGATATCACAGGGATTAGTGTGAATCACACACTCTTAGTGGATATAATGAGCTGAAAGACGGTCTGAATGAAATAAGTAGATGGAGTAGGATCCAGATACAACACACTGCAGTTTTTTTGGACTATTTGAGCAGAGAAAATCCTGCTTGCATTTGTGTGAAACACATTTTAAACTGCACTGAACAGAATCATCAATGAGAATATTTGAGATGTTACACTACACACCCCCTGCCAAAGTCACAGTGTTGTAGCAGAGGTATATATTCACTGGAGCTGCCGATAAGTGATGATCACCAAGCTGCAACACCAACTGATTTTATTGGATGTGATGGGAATGTGGCAGCCAAGCATCACAGGTTTGGTCAAGGCTGATGGCAGGTGTCTTGTGGCTCCGGTGTAACCTCGCTCCAGCTCTCTGCTCAGAAATAACAGTATTTTGTGTTCTTTTTATATGAGCTTGTTTGTTTACATTCCCTCTTCAGGTCACCAGATGCTTATTCTGCTGTTGCTCTCTGTGTTACACCTTGTTTTTTTAATTATTTTGTGCTATGTCACAACAGTGAATTTGGCAGACAGAAATGTTCCTGAACAATTTTTTTAAATATATTTATATATATATATATAGTGCATGAAGACGACGGACGGATGGATGGATGGATGGATGGATGGATGGAATATTGCCACTCCCACTACTGGGGTGCTGCTGTTTGCCAGGACAGACAGGCAAGCTGGCAGCTCAGCAGGGGTCTTGGATTACTGTGCAGAACCTGCTAGGGCTCCCTCCCTCCCTCTAGGAGTTGGGGATTCCTGTTTCAGCTTCAGAGTTTCCCCCGTTCTCTGGCATGACAAAAAAGACAGAAGCCATTTTGCTTCGTTATAGACCTCAAAGTCAGGCCTCAAAAGGTTGGAGGGGTGCACTTGCTCAGTGTGAAGTATCTGAAGTGGTCAGAGGTCAACACTGAACCAGGGAATAATTGATCATCTTTTAACTTGGCTGCTCTTTTTACTCATGGCTGCTGCACTCTGAGTGAACCTGCACCACACACACTCATGTAACCCTGTTAATCCCTCATTCAGCCATGTGCTGCTGCCTTTAAGAGGATTAACCCAGGTGATGGAAATACCTCTGTGATTGTGTCCAGCCATTATCCACTAGGAAAATTACTGCTGTACACTATTAGCTTGGCCCACTTACCATCTTGGTACAGACCATTTTAATACAGGGTTCTCAAACTATGGCACAGGAGCCAGTTCTGGCCCACACGGTAGTTTTAGTCCCCTAAATCTAGCTTCAGTTACAGCTACAGTTTTAGAGGACAAGGTCAACATTCTGGGATCTGATTCACTTGTTTTTGTCCTGGATTGTTTTCACACTTTGGTTTTTGTATACATTAAACATATAAGGCACAGTGTGTTTTGTCACCTGTGGCATAATTTCTCACTGTAAGAATTTTAGCTTAGACCAGAACGCTGCTTAATGCACTGTGGGGTACTTTTTTCCATCACTTCAGGCGTTCCTCTTGGTAAATCCTGGCCCCTTTACTCTTCTCTTTATATATTGCACCTCTGGCGACAATTATAGCTAGACATGATGTTCAATTCCATTTTTATGCAGATGACATTCAGATCTACATGCCACTGCTTTTGTTGGACCCAAACACACTTATCCTGTTGGACAGTTGCGTCCGGGAAATTAAGCAGTGGCTTGCTCAAAATTTTCTTTATCTGAACGAAAGTAAAACTGAATATATTCTTATCAGTCCTGACCCGAATGCAGATGCAGCCAGTTTTGGTGCCTCTGCCCTCCCACTTTCTGATTTAGTGAAAAACCTCGGAATAATACTGGACTGTAATTTTAACTTTGAGAAGCAGATTAGGGCCGTAGTTAAGACTTGTTTCTTTCATTTAAGACTTCTAACGAAGGTGAAACCTTTTATATCACATGCAGACTTGGAGATAGCCATCCATGCCTTTGTTACCTCGCGTTTAGATTATTGTAATGCCCTTTATGCTGGGGGATCTCAGTGTTTGCTCCAGAAATCGCAATTAGTTCAAAAGTCAGCAGCCCGGCTTGTAGTCAATGGCCAGCCCAGGTTTACCCCGATTTTCAGCTCCCTTCATTGGCTTCACATCGAGTATAGAGTTAAGTTTAAGACTCTGGTATTCGTTTTTAAGGCCATCTATGGCCTGGCTCCGCCTTATTTGTCTGACATGCTATCAATTTACATGCCACGAAGAGCCTTGTGCTCTTCAGAACATTTGTCTTTGGTTGTCCCTCGATCGCGGTATAAAAAATGGGGTGACCGATCCTTTGCTACATATGGCCCCAGACTCTGGAATTCCCTTCCCTTAGAGGTGCGATCGAAGTTGGAACTAGCGGTTTTTAAGTCGGCCTTAAAAACTTTTTTCTTTAGGCAGGCTTTTGAGGCATAAATTGGCTTTTTTCATTTACGGGTATGTTAACATGTATTGTTTATGTTACTTTCTTAAGCTTGCTCTGGGTTTCCTCTGGTTTTTATTTATTTGTTGTTTTTATGTTTGCAGTCTTATGTTGATTTAGTGATTTTACTTTGTAGTTTTGTTCTGTTGTACAGCACTCTGGGCTCCTAGGAGTTGTTGAGTGCTATAGAAATAAAGTTTATTAGTGGCCCCCAGGTAGAGAAGAACAGAGACACCTGCTGTAAACTAATGGATGTTTATATCTGAATTACTAGGATGAGTAACATGAATGTTAACAAAGGCTTGATTTAAAGTAGAAATCCTCAGTATCAGTCCCACAGCTCAAGGTGAGACTGCAGAGAACCAGCTCAGGGAAGATTTGTCACCATGTGAGGATGATTCAGGCATTTAAAATGATTTACAGAATGAGTGTATCCAAATCTTCTAAATATTTTCAGGAACTTGTGATAGTCACGCAAGCGTGCATGCACACACACGTGTGCCAGCATCACCCTCCTTAGAACTGGGTCACACTAGATGTTTTGTGCCACAGTTTCCCTCTGAGTTGCAGATAAAAATTGTACTTTGTGCAGTCCATCTGGCCAAGTGACTTTTTTTTTTTCTGAAGGTGTGAATGAAGAAAAGTTGGGCTTTCTTGTGATGGAGACATCGGCCATAAATCTTAGTGTTTGCTCTGGAAGTTTTAGTACAGGTTTTGATCAGGAGGCAGAATGCAGTTTCAGACTGTGACCGGAGCGAGGGTGTGGAAACAGGAGATAGGAAAGCCTTTAAACCAGTCTGAATGATGCACGCAGATACTCAGAATAAAAAATGGGTTCATCTAAAATACTGCTGATGGCAAACACTTCACCTCAGTCCTCTGGGTAATGTGAGCTCAGATCCTCCACTCCATAGGGTTTATGGCTGTTGAATGCTGAGTGTAGGCGGGTGGGCTCAAAGTGCACGTGTATCTGAGCAGAAGCTCAGTTTAGGTTTTTCTGTCAGGTTTTAACTACCTGTGTATTTTACACTCATCATTTTTCATCTCACCCACAGCACTTCGAGAGGCTGAGAGTGAGTGTGTGTGTGTGTGTCTGTCATGCTTGTTCCTTACACACATGTGTTTACAGCATACCTCAAGATACATAGGACTCATTTCTCTCTCCCTTTGTGTAGTTATTTAAATATGTGCCTTTAAGTGGACCCTGGGCCAAATTCATCTCATTTAAACATCTGTTGCTTAGTCATGGACTCTGTCTCTGCCCAGGTGGACCGTACCAGATCATTCAGTAAACACCCTCTATTCGTCCAGTATTTCCTCTTAGTGTAGTCTTTAAACCCTCCCCATGCTCCAGGTGGAAGTGGGGTTCACCTCTTGGGGGAAAGAATGCAGCTTGATTTGATATGAGTGAATGCAGTCACAGTTTTAAGTGCTTTGGGGAAAAAGCATCTATCCAGCTGTTTGATCACAACTTCAGTAAAATTCAAAAGAGTTATGTTATGTTGCAGGCATTTTGGAAATCCTGTGAAGTTTGTTTTTATTGTGTGTGTGTTGGTGGGTGGTGCTTGTTTCTAAACTGTAGCATGTCTAGCTGTGTCAGCGCACAAGAATGCTGCAGAGGGAAAGAAATGATTATTCTCATGAAAAATTCTAGAGCTGGAACAGTTTGCTTGATGGGCAGACAATGAATTGGCAGTTATTATAATAGTTGAACCAAAATAACAATAATATCCTACTTTGAGTCTGTCAGATGTGATAATAAATGTCATATCTTTAGTCTGGGGTTTTGCCTGTAATGCCACCTAAATGGCAGAGCACTCAGACCAGGTGCTATGTTCTGTGCTGTTCATTTCTATATTCTATGTTGAACCGCCTCATCTGCTTCTCCCTGAGTTCAGTGAGGTTGAGACTGGACACACAAAATCACAAGGTTCTCTGATGTCCAGCCAGTTTAAGATCTCAGCGGGGACTGACCTCTCATTAAAGGGTTATTCTGGTGTATTTCCCATAAATGTGCCTATTGTGGCACTATGGGTCGTGCTAACTTTACACTCATCGTCTCCGAGTCTGACTGAAGGTAAACACAGAAAGTAGCCATCTCATTTTACTATAACACCACATTTAAAAAATGTTAGCATGAAACGAAACAGATCAAGCAACTCAGTGCAACACTGTAACCAGCCAGGCTTGTTTTGCGTTAAATTGATGAATCAGAGCTGGAATAGATTACATTTCTGGGGTGTACCTAAATCATTAATGAACACTTTGTTTCATTCCTATGTATACATGCCTGTGAAGGGCAATAAATGGTAATAATCAATGTTATCAACTGTCATTTTTAAATCCTAAGAAAGCTGGAACATTTTTTGATTCACAGTGTTTTCCAAGCTTCTTAAAAACCCCTGGGCTTGTGTTGGTATAGACATCACACAGCACTTCACTGGAAGAGTTTCATTTTCAAATGAAGCATGTCCAAGCCACAAGCAGTTCATTTATACCTGAGCATTGGTGCTGTGACACTACTGCTCAGGAGCATAGTAATGAAAATGTAACATGCTCCATATTGGTACAGTCAACTATGTTTTAAAAGTAATGACTCAGATGTAAAATGAGGACAGATGGTTTGGATCAGCTGTGAAATGTCTTATTTTAGTCGCTGCTCCCAAACTAGCAGCACTTCCTTCTTGTTGAACTTCCCCTGTGAAAAATAAGCTTTTATCGTCACCGCAGTGTTCGGCTCAGGGCCTGTCGATGTCAGACACTCACAACTGCCTCTGAGCATCACTTGTCAGCCACAGGGAATAAGAGCAAATTGATGCTTCATGGTAGGTAGCTGCCTCTAAAGTAGAGTGTTGTCACTGCAGGTTTGTAGCTAAAAGATACTGATTGTAATGGAGCTGCAGATAAACGGGGGCCCATATGAATGTGTAATGCTCTTTATTCCATCTCAGACAGTCTCGTTCTCTTTGGCCCCTCCTGTCTTTAATAGTTAGGCATGTTTCACATTTTGAATTTAAATACTCCGCCTGTCTTCTCCTCGCTTCTCCCCCCTCCAGGTTGATGTTTCCTCAACGGGTGCCCCCAGGGTCGCTTTCAAGCCTGACTGCTGACAGCTCGCCACCTCTGTCAGGCTCTTGAGTGAACTGATCGATCGCCTTCAGCTTAACAAGACAGTACACAAGGTTCCGCTGTGTCTGGCAGCGGTTGAGCCAAGCAGCCTCTGTGTTGGCGCGAGTCCAACCGTGTCACCATGGACACGGAGTCCACCTACTCGGGCTATTCCTACTACTCCGGGCGCTCCCGGAGCTCCCATAGACATGGGTAAGAGCTAATCCTGCTTTGTCAGTAATTGTTTTTCCAGAGTATGTTATGTAGTGCGTGTTAAACCAGGTTTCATGTTGGTCTGAGCTGCAGAAGTGTTCCAGCTGTGGCTCAAATAACATTGTTTATGGAATGAAAGTTTAGCTTCTGGACACCCAGATGTGTGATTTTGAGTTGAACATAGTCTAGCATTGTGTGGGGTTGTCTGTATGAATTGAAGCCCGTATGTCAAGATCAAAATGAGAAATCATACACATAAGATACGAAGATGTTTTATATCTGCTCTTGTGTCATTGTCAAAGGTTGTTCATTGTTTTCTTTGTGTCATTCCAGTATTTTCTGAACATGAATTGTTTATTTACCTTTCTTACTCCTGGATTTGTGCTTCCTTTCTCTGAAGTCCACACACTGTCCTTCTGTTCAACTCCATGATCCCAACTCTCGTGCATCAGTCTTCCTCTCTGGCCTTCCGTGTGTCCTCAGCTTGTGTAGGTGCATTAGTCTGTCAGCGGTGAAATGGCTGTGCTTGACGGGCCTCAGGAAGGCATCAGGAGACAGGTGCTGAAGAGGCCTGAGTGACTGATGGCTCAGTGGATCCACTGAGAGCCTGAGAAGAGATTATAGGAGTGCAGTGGAGAGGGGGTGTCTGTTCCAGCCCGGCCCTTGTCATTGATGGTCCCCCCTTGGTTCTGTTTAAGGGATTTTGCACCTTCAGTGTTACTTTCTTTCTTCTCTTCTGTCTCTTTCCTCTCCTTTTCATTATGCACGGTCTCATTTGTTTTGCTCCCTTGTGTCCGTTGTGATATGAATGCAGCAGCTGCCCCTTTCTCACTTGTTCTTGACCTCTTGTCTGGATCTGCTTCTCTCCTGTGCCTCCCCCCTCTTGACTGGAATCCTTGCTGCTCTCTGAGGATGGGTAGGCGCAGGCGTATCACTTGTTCCCCCATCACTCACATTCCGTGGGGCAGGAATGTGCCCTTGTAGCTCAGAGTTGCACAGAGCAAAAGTGGTCTCACTTTGCTTGTAATCAAAGCGGGGGTGGGGTCGATGGATGGTGATTATGGTGGTGGTGCTGCTGCTTCTTTACTCTTTGTGCAAGTGAGTGGCAGCAAATTGGAAAGGAACACATGGGCACCCCTGCCAAGAGCCTTTTCTGCTCCTCTGTTCTTAACTGTAGCTGTGCCAAAGCCACTGGCTGGCCTTTAATTTCATATACAAAAAAAACCTAACTAATTTTTGCATTTGAAACCCCCTTGACATCCCTCTCTCTGAAGATAATCTTTTTATGCCAAGGGGAGCCATGCGTGAGGCAGTTCTGGATCACTGTTGTCTAATTACACTGATGCCGGGAACAGATGCCGACACATGGGAGAATGGGTTTGCTGCTTCCATACAAATAAACACACACAAGCACATTATACTGTAGGTATCCATGTTTGTGAGTCGTGAGTCAAGCTTTTAAATATATAATTTGTCAGAATATAATAGAGGAATAGAATGGGATTGGCTCTGGGTTTTATTGACAGTCAGTGGAGCGTTTTTGGAGTCTCATAGCTGGCTTCTTGCCCCTTCCTGTGTCCAGGATCCTTACAGTAATGGCAGCGTGGCAGCTCTGTCCATGGACACCAGCTCCTGCCAAAAGCAGAGACAAAGCCTGCTGATGGCAATGATTTCTTTATTTGCATTTAGTACATCTTTTTTTTATCCTCTTATGACTGTGTTTAACTGCATCAAAGCAAAACATGAATACCCAAGAGGGCACTCTCATTAATATGTGCGCATGTGACATTCTTACAGGCAGAATCCAGAGCTGCAAAATTGACTGTGAGGAATGAGGCTTAATATGATTTGCACTTGTTGGACTGTCTGTTCTTGGAAGAAGCATGAAACTGCCATGATTTGGGGATAAACTGTAATAGTTTCTTTTTCACTGTGTTCTTTGGTGCAGTGTATAGTAATTGACAAAACAGGCTGCATGTTTCATACTGAGTCAGTGCTCAGAATTAGGGGTAATTAGTCTTAAATTTGTAATTTTTTTCACCATGCAGCTGCACCATAAAGTGCCTCTACAAAGTAAGGGATTTTGTTCCACTGTGAGGAGCATGATTGTTGAGTCCTGAGCCGCTTTAAGTTCTCCAAAGTTCCCCAAAGCTTCTTCACTATGTCAATTTTGAGCATTTAAATGACTATTAAATAGCAAATCTCATATTAGCAGCTGCTCATGTGGAAAATTGGTTCTTTTGATTGGTATAACTCTATTTATAGGGCAGTGCACAGCATTCACATAGAGCCAAGTGAGCAATTTAAGCTAATTCCTTCACAGTTATAATGTTATTTAGAGGTTCCCAGATAATGAGGTGGGCATAATATATACATCCTGTTTGCATTTTCATTGGCTTAATTACTCTGAGTGCTGTAATAATATTGGTAACCTTTTGTCTTTTTTTACACAGAGTAGGCCTATGATAAAACATTTTATGTTTTTTATGTTTCATTTCTCAAAAATGTAATATTTGTATTTGTTTTGTTTGTGAGTGTTCAGTATGGTTCCTTTGTTTCACACTAACCAGCTGCATGCAGTGTAGAAAGCACAAGTTGCAATGGTCATGTTTTGTCATGAATATCAATGAACCATGTGAGATTTGAATGCATAAAGGGTAACGCTGCTGTATGAAGTCAACCATGGGGAACAGGGTTCACCTCCACCTAGGTTAATACCAGATTCTATACAGCATCATACTGTGGTCATATTGGGTGGATTTATTAAGCTACATATTTCATCTAAGCAGAACACAACTACAAATTAAGATAAAAAAATATCAAAACTCACCACAGAGAGCACTTTAAGAGCACACATACAGACAGCACTCCGTTTCCTTATTGCTCGCTCTCACCTCCTCCCTCGCTCTACAACACATCGATGTATTTGAGATGACCTGGCTGAGTGTGTGGTTGGTCAGTTTTTATTTGGCTTCAGGACTCTGGTGCTCAAGTAGCCACCAGTGCTTTGGCTCAGACGGTTGCACTGACACAAAGCTGTGTGTTACACAGGTATGTAGGCTGCTCGACCAGCCAAAGAGAGAACAAATTAGTCTCTAGTTCTTCAGTAGCCATCCTGCCGCAGCTTCCCCCTCTGTGTGAGATGGAGAATGTGGTCACAGCCACACTCATTCTCAGGTGTTGGAGGGGAAACGGTGCCTAACTGGCAGGACTCTGTCCTAGCTCGCCAGGTATCTCTGCCCTCAAAGGAGCCCTCCTCCCTTTCCTCCCATCTGCCCTGTTCCAAAAATCCATACCGGTTCCAGGGATCCACGCTGGAAGTCAAATTCCATTAATCAAATCATAGCACAGCACACTGTTGGAATACCAATGAGCTGGCAACATGCTAATGAGGCAGGAAAAGGATATGTGAAGGGTGAGGAAGGAGGAGATGTGTGTTGGGAGCAAGGTTTCCACATAGTGCAGTCATCCCAGAAGCTCACTGAAGGGTGAATGAGGGGAGGTGCTGGTAGAAAGAGGTTGAGCTGTTCAAAGGTCTGCTTGCCTCTGTGTGCCCACAGTTGTGTCTTTATAGATGTGTAAGAAAAAGGTGCACTTTTGCCAACACAGTGAAAACCAGGTGTTCCCTCACCTTTTGTTCCACAGTGAATCCCACTTGGCTGGAATACACACATGGGCATAACACAAGCAGCATGTACAGGCAGACGTTATTTGCTCTGTGCCAGTGTTTCCCAATCTTGTTGATTTTAATCTTTTCAAATGAAGTACCTGGGATCTTTCAGTGGAGGTTATCGCTTTAGTGTTGATGCGAGTTAAGAAGCCAAAGAGTGATATGCTCCAGGTAGAAAGTTTTACAGTATCATCCCCAGTTGATGGTTCATGTCTAGTAGAACACACGCAAATAAAGAAACAACATTATGAGTGTAAACTTCCCCAAATAGCAAAGAGCAGGACAGAACTACCGATACAGCCAAAACTCTGATGACACCCAGGACCAACTTCCAAACAACAGGGAAATCCTGCACAGTGAATATGCTAGCTGCTACTTTTCCCTCACTATCTACCCAGAGTTGCTTATTATTCTGGTGATGACTTTGGAGTTGGTTCACTGCTCGGTGAGCCCTGCTGCTCCTCCTAGTCTCCTCCTTGTCCTCTCTCCTACAGCACTCCTCCCTAATTTATAATGGTAAACAGTGACATCCTTTGACTGATGATCACTGCCACTGGAATATCTATCACTACAGCTGTAATAATATTTAAAGTAATAGTGATAGCTGTAATATGTTTAAAGGCTTACATTACCTTCCTAATCTCCTGGATTTATTAGATAAGAATGTGTCAGTCACTCTATCTGTGAAGCTGCAGGCTATTGAAAATTAGCTTTCTGTTGTGTGCAGATTTGAAACATGAGTTGCAGTTGTGATTTTCAGTAGGAAATGGCTTCCACTTTTGAAAGGAAGTACAAGAATAGAGGCGGAAAGCAGACAGGTTAACACCCTTTATTCAAAACACTGGAATCTAATGTAGCTCTAGATGGAGCGATTCAACTGCTCTCAGTCGTACAGATGCGTCATTACCCCTGCAGGCAGGATATCCTGTACATTGTGGTTATGAACCAAGTGCTGAGCTTTGTGTTTGCCATCGGTCAGACCCTTATTTATGGGCAATCAATCTCATATACCCTTGTCAGTCTTTCATTATCCAAACTGTCAGTTTTTTAATCAGATTAAAGCTGCTGTAATTAATATTTTTTATAATCAATCAAAGTATGCATAAGGTCAAACGTGTAGCTTGTAGTGACAAGAATTTTCATTCACCTCTGGACATCATTTTAGCATCCTTTAGCTGATTGTTTTGGTTTTATGGCCTGTCGCTTTAATGTTTTGATTCTGTCTCACCAGTTTCAGCGGCATTTCCAACTGCACTAGGCTGAAACAGCTCTGATAAGCACATTAACTTTCCACAATACACTACCTGCCCAGTACCAAACAGCAGCTAGGTGGTGAAGCAAGTTAGCTAAAGAGCCAGATGTTTTCTCAGTTCATGGACCTCACCAGAGAAATTGATGACAACCAAATGAATACGAATGTTGCTCTGTATTTGTAGGATGTATAAATAAATACAAGGGGCAAAAAGGCAGTTAAAGAGAACTATAACAAGAGTTTGTGCTTGAGTGTCTTAATGGAGAGCAACACAAAAAAACCTCTTGTGTTGTGAAAATCAGATTTGTTATCCTTCGGTTTCAATGTTGCTCATACAAATAGAGTGGTTAGCATGAAACAATATTCTTAGAGACTGCAGGGAACTCATTCAGGACTTAGCATGACAAATACAGAAAGAACCATATGATCTCTTTCACTCAGCTGCTTTGCGTTGTTTGTTCAATAAAGTCTCTCTACAGCCTCTTCAGTACATAGCATCTATATGGACGTTTAGGGTCTGTCTGTCTCAATTTGTCTGTATGCCCTCAAACACAATACTCATGAAAATTAAAGTTCACATTTTGCATATTGCTGGGTAACACCTCAAAATAGTATTTGTAAAAAAACCAGTTGTGCAACATTTTGTTCTACTGAAACTACAAAGTGCTGCTGTGTGTACTATGTCCAAGATGTCAGCAGTTAGCGGGGGAATGAGAGAGCTGAGGGATTAACTGGGGCTGTTGAGCTTGTCTGTGGTAATGGAGCTGCAGATTGGGCCCTGTGCCATGTGGCGACGATGATTCTGGGTGACCCACTGTTCACGCTCTACACAGGATTAGGGCTGTAAGAGCAGGGGACAGCCCAGCTAATGGAGCTCATATGTTAGGGAGGATTGAGAGACAGTGTGTCCCTGATCTTAGTATGTGTAGTGCGGTTATACATCGATCAGCCATAACATTCTGACCACTGGCAGGTGAGGTGAATAACACTGACTATCTGTTACAGTGGCACCTGTCAGTGTGTGGGGTGTATTAGGCAGCAAGTGAACATTCCCTCCTCAAAGTTGTAATGGAAGCAGGAAAAACAGCCATGCATAAGAATCAGAGTGACTTTGACAAGGGCCAAACTGATGGTGAGATGACTGGGTCAGAGTATCCCCCAACACTGCAGGTCTTGGTGGGTGTTGTTGGTCTGCAGTGGTCAGTACCTACCAACAGTGTCTAAGGAAGGACAAATGGTGAACTGGAGACAGGGTCATGGACGCCCATGGCTCACTGATGAGATTAAACCTTTAACTTGCATTTGTACTTTTCAAAAGATTAAACTTTATTTGAATCTTTGTTAAAATTGTTGAAAATGAGAAATACTGTCCATTGGTCTCTATGAAGAGAAAGAGTCAGGGGCTGTAGTGGTGATATCACGCCTAGAGTGGTGAGACTGTTGGATTTGTCTCAACAATTCTCTCTAACTCGTCCTCACGACCACAGTTTTCACTGCTTTTACATACATTTTTCACTGAATTGTAGACACATCTGTGCTCTTCCTGACAGTAGAACTGTGGAAGCAAACAGATTCACAGAAGATGCACAGTGAGCTGCAGAGTGACACGAGTGCCAACCAACTGCCACATTGAATCCTATGTAAGCAGTATTAGGCAGGTGGTCATAATGTTATGGCTGGTTGTTGTATATGCAGCCCTGTGTGTCTTTCATCATACTTATTCCTGTGACCTTCCTTTACTGTGTAATAGGACATTAATAAACAAGACAAGGTTTTTAATGTGGTTCAATTTTTGTGCCAAGTTTGATACATAAAAATGTCCTACTCATCCTATACAAACAGTTACATGTGGTCTTATGGATCTCAAACCTCATGATGTCATAGTAATGCTTTTGGGGTTGTATTGGATTAGACATGGAAGCTACAAATTTATAACCTGTGTAGGATCTTTTGGAGCTTGAGCCATTATCAGGACTAAAAGTCAGGATATATTAGTCTCTGCTGCTTCGATTTCAACCATTTAAAAAATTTTTTTTTTTTAAATTCTGTCTCTTGCAGCCATCGACGGAGCCAAGAGGGTGGCACCAGTCACTCTCAGAATCTGATTGGCCACCCCTGCCAGAGCCAAAAATGTGATGTTTGTCAATGTTGATGAATGAAAAATGAAAAACAATGACAAATTGTTGCCTTAAATACAACTGACATTTTTCTGGAGCTTTATAAATAATATTGGTCCAGTCAGTTTTATTTTATATCATGCATGCAGCATGCGCATTCATTTCTCCAATTGCATGGGGCGTACTTGGCATGATTCGCCTCAGTGGGGAACCACTGTGCAGCTCTGATGTCCCCAGCCGGGAGTAAATAAGGAGCGCAGCCACAGTTGAAAGAAAGCAATTTATGTCCCTAATCTTTACACAGACAATTTGATAATAATGTATTGGTTATTATTTCATAGGAAGGGGTTTGGTTTACCATTTACATGCATTTCAAACGCACCACTCCTCTCTGAGTCTGTGTCCCATCTTAGCCACCTAGCCAAAGTTTTCTAGATCCGCCCTGCTTACGAGTCCCTCAGTTGTATGAAAGTCCAGTATTAATTTGCTGCAGTATCCCTGTAGGACCTCTTTGTTTCCGAGCCTGTGTACCAGCTGTTACACACAACACTAACCCAGAATTTTTTGTTTGTTTTTCAGGGAGCGAAGCCGGGACCACCACAAGTCACGCAGTAAAGACAGCCGCTCAGAAAAGTCCGTAACAATTAACATGCCGCCTGCTGAGCCACTGCTGGGTGACTCGGCTGTTCGGGGTGAGCCGGTCCAGGTAGGGCTGAACACAAATTAACACATTAACAAACCACTCCAGAAGCTTTGTTCACATGACTCCACTTACAAAGTCACCACACAGTTTCTGTATGGTCACCCTATATGCAGAATTATGGAACAATGTTCCCTCTACTTGTTTTATGAATACAGTACTTCTAATGTAAGACGGGGTAACTGCTAGTCTGATTTAAAAAGGATTTGGATCTCAGATTTATCAGTCTGGTCAAAGTGAGTTAGAATGACAACTGTGTTTATCAGCCTGGGCTGGAACTGGCCACCTGGTATTACAGGGCAAAAGTGAGGAGGGCCAGTCCACTGAGTGAGGACTCAGCTGTTACTGTCAGGAAATCTATTACTGTAGCACTGTTTTGTGTACAAAATATGGATGCGATGGGCCACTTCTATGGTCAGTACAGCTTTGCTTTGTCTCTTTTAAAAGAGGCAAACTCAAGTGAAATATAATGTAGGAAACTGTATCATATAATAATTTGTCAAGTGCTGAGCCTAGTTTTTTATTTTATTTTATAGAACTTAAGGTAATGTATTGCTAACCTCAGCGGGATGCGTTTCTATGAACCTTAACACTGGAAGTAGTAAATCTGTGGGGTGTTTGAGCGCTCGCTGCTTGTCCAGGAGCTCAGTTTCATTGTTGAATGGTGATGCTGTAGGTCACAAACACTTTGTGGTGTACTATTTCGAAGGACATCAGTGGTGTTAACAGCACACAGTACATCACCAGTCTTCTGGATTCCTCATCTCTAGTGACTGTCACATGATTGGTTAGAAATAGTGTTGCTTCCTTGTGGTTGACCGAAGCAAAGCCCTAATCAAAGTATTTTTAGGGGTGTATCATTGCCAATATTGACCTTATTAAGTGGACTGATTAGTATAAAAGTTTATAAAATGCAGTGTTTCTGCTACCAGTTCCATTCATTCTGCCTGTTTTAGTGCCACATTATCCTTAGCTTCATGTTTCCCTTGGGTAAAAGTGCACTGGTATCAGATCAGTACGATAAGAAAGCCTGTATCTATGTAATTAGTGTTTATAGAGTAGACCAATCCAGAAGCATTTTAATGAGCAGTTAATCAGTTGGCTGCCTTGTGACATATTGACATTTCTCCTATCATGCAATAGAAAGCAGGCATTTCAAGACTTGCTGCTGGCAAGGGTCAGATACTGATGCACTGAATGAAACAAGACTGACCCGTTCTCTTAGCCAAACAGCTGTCTGGCACAGTGACCTTCATTGATTGTTCAGCTTAACCTGCTGAAGATAGAGATGACAACCACAAACTGACCTACTTGGCGCTGAGTTTCCCTGGTGGCAGGGCTCATTAGCAATGCAATTTTAACACGACAGGATTTGCCACAGAGCACAGCTACTGTTAGTATTTTTCTCTTCATGTCTTATTCATGCCGAGGCCTGCAGTAGCGCTGCTGACAGGGCGGAGAGTGTTTGGCTTTAGTCTGAGTAGTTGGCGGCTACCAAGTCTACTGAGAGAGAGGCTCAGCACAAATCCGTGTGTGTGTGATTATACTAGCTGGTGTACAATCTCACATATGCTCCTGAATGTGAATGTTTTGTGTCTGTGTGTCACACTCATTACTCTGCTGCTGGGACCTAATCAGTCTTGGCTCACAAGGCAGCAATGTCTTCACAGTCCAGTACCAAACATTTCTCATGGCTGTGATGCCTTACCACAGGAACTATGAAAGAAGAGGGATTACGTTCTATATAAATGTGTTGGAAAACTCGACTGGAGATATCGACCCAGACATCAAACCAGGCAGAAAAATGTTTTAAAGAGTTTGCCTATTGTAGAGAGATGGTGTGTGTTCATTTTTTTCTTGGCAGCAAAGCATTCATGAGATGCTCGGGAGGAATAGATTTGACATTTTCAGAAATACAATATTCACTTTGTAGCCTCATGTCTGTGTGCAGAATATAAACATAAAACCAGCAGCCAGCTAGCTTAGCTTAGCATGCAGACTGGAGACAGAGGAAAGCAGCTAGTGTATATATAACATATTGTATCTTGCCTGTTTAAGCCCTTTAAAATGTTCTTGATGAGAAGAAGTGCATTTTCCTAAATGTTATAAACTGCAAATCATTCTCTCCATGCTCTTGTAGGGACATTTAGTTATTTTTCCACTTGTGTTAAGAAGGAGCCCAGTTTCTCATGAAGCCCAATTTTACACACTTGTTACATCTGCAGTGGGACATCAGTAGCACTTGATAACACACTCATCCTTTATGTTACCTAAGATTGCTTGATATGCTTGAAAAGAATCTTTTTAGGAGCAGGCCAAAGCTCCAGGCTGTATGCTAATGTGTGAATGAATACTCCAAGTGCTTGGTGGGAAGTACATGTTTGTGGCAAGTCGGCCTCTGCTTTATTTTGCTGATTGGGCGTTTGTAACGGACAGTGGAGGTGCATATAGCCTGGGCTGAGAGTAAATGATATGAGTAATTGGGTCAATTTGTCCTGCTGTTGTTGTTGTTGTTGTATGTAACTTGATATTAGTGGAAAGTGAGAGGTTGATTGGAGCAGCTCAACTCAATGTAGCAGGTCGACTTTGCGGCTCAGGAGTGTGTTGTGGAGTGCTGTTGTAGAGATGTCAAACAGGAAAAATATGATATGTTTAAACCATTATGCATTCCTCGAGGATTAGCACCTTCCTTTTCTAACAAACAGAGAGAGAAAGTTGAGCTGGTGTGTCACAGTCCCTGGCATGGGTGGGTCTGAGAGTTTGCGATGATTTGTGCAGAGCTCAAGCGATTTCGGGCATGGTAATAGATTGACTCCAAATGCACCTGTCTGATTGGCATGGTCAGCTTGTGATTGCACAGCCTTTATTTATACAGTCAATTTAAGACCATTAGCAACAACCTTTATTAGATATCATTTCACTGAGCTCTTGTTGTCTGTCTCTAAAATACCGTATCCATTCTGTCAGATTTCCTCTGTCAGTGCTTATTATCCCTTATCCTGGCTTTTTTTTGCCAGGATATCTGCTGCTGTTGGTCATTTGCAGTACTGTCCATGTATACCTCATATGCTATTTGCACCTCATCACCAAATGCCCTGGTGATGCTGAACCATCTGACAATCTCCTGTTTTCATTTGCACTACTGTCACTGACTGTACACGGTTTTGAGTCACAGCTTATTGGCTGTACCGTTTAGATGCATCCTAATTACATCAATCCGGTTTTTATTCTATGCTATTTTTATTCTACTTTATTCTATTTTAGTTCTTAAATGTTAGGGCACCCAATACTAGGTGAGAGAGAAACGATATTTCGATTTTCTGTATGTCCTGAACAGATGGTGAGCTCACAATAAAATTCTTGAACCTTGAAATACTGATTCTGCTTTCAGCCTCATTAAAAGGAACATTATATAGCAGCTATTAATGATGGCATTGTCCACTAAATAAAGCATTTTCCCTTCAATCTCCAACTATTTTACCTTCCTCTTACCTACCCAACAGCTTAGTTAATTCATCCCAGTTAAACTAGGCAACTGACGACTTAATTGCATTCCTCAATGCAGTAACAGCAGCACTACTCATGGTATTTCTTGCCAAAGCTTAATGCAGGTAGCTCTGCCGCCCCAGACTCTTGGAAGAGTCAGAGTACTTGTGCTCATGTTTGGCATCTCTTCCCTGTGTCGAGTGCCTCCTGGCTCAGTCTCCTGTGAGACAGAATCCCACAGAGCTCCATGGTTATCCTGTTGCTTTGTGTGTGTCTGTGCTTGTTGTAAGCTGTGTGCCATGGCCAGGCTGCATGTGCTGTGGGTGGGCATCACAGCACAGAGAAAGAAATACAGTACTCCATGGTAGATTTGGAGAAGGAATTTTTTTTTGTGGGGTAAATTTTTTTGTTTTTTACGTTATCACACCTTTATTAATTAGTCCAGAGGACCTTACCTTACTAAGGGGAGAGATAGCTCAGTTAGTTGGATGGACAGGTTTTGTCTTACCTTACCTACAAACCCCAATTCCAATGAGATTGGGACAATGTGTAAAACGTAAATAAAAACAAAATACAATGACTTGCAAATCCTTTTTGACTCATATTTAATTGAATACACCACAAAGACAAGATACAGAAACACCGCTGGCTTCTCTGGGCCCAAGCTTATCTGAGATGGACTAATGCAAGGTGGCAAAGTGTGGTCTGACGAGTCCATGTTTCAAATTGTTTTTGGAAATCATGGACGTCATGTCCTCTGGGCTAAAGAGGAAAAGGACCATCCACATTATCAGCTCAAAGTTCAAAAGCCAGCCTCTGTGATGGTATGGGGGTGTGTTAGTGCCCATGACATGGGTAACTTGCACATCTGTGAAGGCACCATTAATGCTGAAAAGTATTTGGAGCAAAATATGCTGCCATCCTAGCGACGTCTTTTTCAGGGACGGCGCTGCTTATTTCAGCAAGACAATGCCAAGCCACATTCTGCACATGTTACAACAGCGTGGCTTCGTAGTAAAAGAGTGCGGGTACTAGACTGGCCTGCCCGCAGTCCAGACCTGTCTCTCATTGAAAATGTGTGGAGCATTATGAAGCGCAAAATACGACAACGCACACCCCAGACTGTTGAGCAACTGAAGTCGTACATCACGCAAGAATAAGAAACAATTCCACCTACAAAGCTTCAACAATTAGTGTCCTCAGTTCTCAAACGCTTATTAAAGGTTGTTAAAAGGAAAGGTGATGTAACACAGTGGTAAAAATACCCCTGTCCCAGCTCTTTTGGAACATGTTGCAGGCATCAAATTCAAAATGAGTGAATATTTGCAAAAAACAATAAAGTTTATCAGTTTAAACATTAAATATCTTTGTCCTCGTGGTGTATTCAATTAAATATGGGTCAAAAAGGATTTGCAAGTCAATGTAATCTGTTTTTATTTACGTTTTTTCCACAGTGTCCCAACTTCATTGGAACTGGAGTTTGTATACACACACACACACACACACACACACACGTTAAC